GGGGCTGGGGGCATCTGAGGGGTCCTGGGGGTGTTTTGGGAATGTCCAGGGGGTGTCCGAGGGGTCCCAGAGTGTCCTGGGAGTGTTTTGGGAATGTTTGTCGGGTGTCTAAGGGGTCCCAGGGTGTCCTGGGAGTGTTTTGGGAATGTTCATGGGGTGTCCAAAGGATCCTGGGGTATCCTGGGAGTATCTTGGGAACGTCCATGGGGTGTCTGAGGGGTCCCAGAGTGTCCTGGGAGTGTTTTGGGAATGTTTTTTGGGTGTCCGAGGGGTTCTGGGGTGTCCTGGGAGTGTTTTGGGATTGTCCTGGTGGTGTCTAAGGGGTCCTGGGGGTGTCCTGGGAGTGTTTTGGGAATGTTTTTTGGATGTTCAGGGGGTCCTGGGATGTCCTGGGAGTGTTTTGGGAACTCCATGGGGTGTCCGAGGGGTCCCAGAGTGTCCTGAGGGGTTTTTAGGAATGTCCATGGGGTGTCCAAAGGATCCTGGGAGTGTTTTGGGAATGTTCATGGGATGTCTAAGGGGTCCTGGGATGTCGTGGGAGTATTTTGGGAATGTCCAGGAGTGTCTGAGGGGCACTGAAAGTGTTTTGGGAATGTCCATTTGGTGTCCAAGAGGTCTTGGGAGCATTTTGGGAATGTCCATGGGGTGTCCAAGGGGTCCTGGGGTGTCCTGGGAGTATTTTGGGAATGTTTATCAGGTGTCCGAGGGGTCCTGGGGGGTTCTTGGGAGTGTTTTGGGAACGTTCATGGGGTGTCCAAGGGATTCTGGGGTGTCCTGGGAATATCTTGGGAATGTCCATGGGGTGTCCAAAGGATCCTGGGGTGTCCTGGGAATATTTTGGGAATGTTTATGGGATGTTCAGGGGGTACTGGGGTGTTCTGGGAATATCTTGGGAATGCCCTTGGGGTGTCCGAAGGGTCCTGGGGGGGTCTTGGTGTCCTGGGAGTGTTTTGGGAATGTCCTGGTGGTATCCAAGGGGTCCCCGGGTGTCCTGAGAGGGTCTTGGGAATGTCCTTTTGGTGTCCAATGGGTTCTGGGAGTGTTTTGGGAGCATCCATGGGGTGTCTGAAGGGTTCTGGGGTGTCCTGGGAGTATTTTGGGAATATTTATTTGGTGTCCAAGGGGTCCTGGGAGTGTTTTGGGAACATCCATGGGGTGTCCTGGGAATATCCCAGCATTTCCTGGG